AGTACTGCATTTTCTTTGTCATCCCTTCCTTCTAGGCTTTACTGCCCCCACATTCAGCCCCTTGTAGCTTGGATATTATTGATCCTGATTCCTCTTCCACTCTCCTTCTGAGTCACGTTCTAGTATCTGGTTGGGTTTTTTGGTTTTTTTTTTTATAAAAGACTACGTAGCGAGCTCTTGAAGCATCTTTCCCCCCAGAAGGAAGCCAATTAGTGACAGCTGTGAAAGCAGCAGCCCGCCAGGAGCCAGCCTGAGATTCATCAACCCAGTCCACAGAACCCATTGAGCAATAATGCCCTTCAGTCTCTGCTAATCTGCTAAACATCTGAATCAATTTGCCTGAGATAAAAAGCCCACTGAGCCATGTGATCCCCTGGTAGAAGTGTCTGGAGTTCAGCTGCTAACACATCCACTGTTCCTTGACAAAAAGGCTGTGGATGAAGACAGTCTGGCAACCACTTTTCTCCTATGAGTAGCTGCATTGATGCCTTCCATTCTGTGAGATGCCTCCCGAAAGGCAGGGAAGCGAAGCTCTTGGTAGTGCTTAGCACATCCCTTACGCTCCTGCCATATCGCACAACTGGAATCAGCGTTCCAGGAAACCTGGGCATCCCTCTAGTCCAGCGGCTCTCAACCTTTTTAGACTTGAGGCACCCCGTGGAAAATGCCAGCTTGCAGTTTTCACGTGTTTCTTTGACTACATAAAAATAACAGATCAATAATAGACACAGCAGGTCCAAGTGTTTTTAACACTCTGGATTCCTGTTTGAAATCTCTGGGTTTCCTTGTGAATCATGTTTGCACCCCTAACCGTGCTAACATTGTGCTCACCCTCAAAGGGATCTCAAAGCACCGCAGCGCCTGGCTGAGACTGAGTGCTCCAGCTGCTCTTCAGATGGGGCCAATATACAGCTATGGAAGAAGGAGCATGCCTGATGCCATCCAGAGAGCAGGAAAGTTGCTCCTCGGCATCATCCCTGCAGGTAGCGCTGACATGGCTTATCTCTTCTCATCCACTGAGTGTCTTACGGACACACAGCTGAGCCCTGTGTCAAATGGAAGCACATGCAATGCCAAAAGCAAACTGCTTTCAGATGGAGCATACTCCTAGGGGAAAAGACAGGCAGAGTTAAAGGATGCCCTAGCAGGAAACACACAGGTTCTCCATGGATGGGTTGGGAACGGATGAGGGTATGCCTGGAGGAAAGGGACTATGGAGCTGAGTTTGTAGGGAAGTCGGTGGTTGCATTTTCAAAATGGAAGGAATAGATTTGAGGGCTTTCCCCAGGTTGTTCTGGGTGCACTTCAGCATGGGAAGAGCTGTGAACCCCTTGCATTCTGTCAAGCCCCCCCATTTCCCTCCGCTGTGAAATAGGAATGGGAGAGGCCTTCAGGCCTCATTCACCAAGTGCCTTACACGAGCTCTAAGGCTCTGGGCCTGATTCCCCGTTCATTGCAATCATTTAAACCGCAATGAAGTAGGTGTAAAACACAGCCATGCAGATCCAAAGGCGTCTCATACCCACTGCACGCCGCGTAAACGCTAGAGAAAGAAGACAGGCATACTTAGGTTTTCATTTGACTATTCCTGCCCTCTTCCTCACAGTGTCTGAAGTGAGATTGTGAACCTCTGGCAGACAACGTATTTGGGGTAAATCTGATATCTTAAATACTTGGAAAAATTCTTCTTTGCAAGCTTTTGGGTACACATGCCGGCTGTCAGACTGAAGAAGCATGTGCAGTTGGTGTGTGCTCTGAAAAGTAACATGGACGCTTGCCAGATCATGGGCAGCCCGAGAACAGTAAACCAACTTATTTAGACAACTCTCTATGACAGGGGTCGGCAGTCTACAGCCCATGGGCCAGATCAGGCCTGCAGATGGACTGTATCTGGCCCACAGTCAGGACAGTCGAGGCATTCAGTGGTGGGGAAATCCAGGACATAGGGTACCATGCAGTGGTGGGGGAAATGAGCTGCAAAGCAAATAGGCAGTGGCCTCTCTTAGACCAATCTGTTAATTTGGCCCGCTGCTGTTCAGAGGCTGCCAACCCCTGCTGTGTGTGAATCTAGGACCTCATTTCACAAAGTGCTAAGCCCCCCAATTTGGGCATAAGCCACTGGAAGCTGCAAAGGCTCAGCATCCTTCAAATACATGCCCAACACCATTTAATATTGACATGTATGGTAACTACTCTGGCTTCCAATTCTCTTCTGTGTGCGTTCATTTACACTTGTGTGAAGTGAGTGACGTGCACTTGCTCAGGCTTGGAGCATTTTTACACTGGCTTTGCCTATATAGGTCACACCAAGGGGGAAAGGCAATGGTAAAAAGATAGGCAGATGTTGAATTCTGACTTGCACACGGTAAACAACGATCTGTGGAGAGTGATTGCTGTTGTGCAACTGCTGTGTGGCGTTTGATCCTTTGAGTGGGACTTTCTGAAGCACGTAGATGCACAAGTCTTGACAACCAACAGGACTTAGGCACCTAAATTACTTGCAAGCGATTTGGGAAAGAAGCTGCCTTGTTTCAACATGGCATAAGAAGGTCATTAAATCCTGAATGTACCAGCCACTACAACAGGCCCATTTCTATTCATCCCTACCTCTGGGCTGAGGAGAATGGTATTTTTTAGAAGTTTCTGTTAGGATGTAAAAATACACACTTAAACAGCAGATCTTCTGTGTGTGGGGAACTGATGAACCAGAATCAGTTTCTCTTACGGTCTCGTTGTTATTAGTCCTAGACAAGGTAGATGACAGAGCTGGGGGAAAATGAACTCGTTTCTGGTTGCTGTTTGGACATCATTGATAGATGTTTAAATTTCAGCTGCAGCATCTTTCCTGTTGCAGCCAGAGGCATCTGTGATAGTTGTGTTGTGCCTGGACATGCATGCAGTGTATTCGCTCGAGTCTGATATTAGCTTGACAAACTGAAAGAAAACCTCTGACGAGATTAGCCTGGCAAGGTCACAGAGGGTTTGTTACTCCAAGTGCCAATCTCAGACTACTTCAGCCCTTTTGGAACTGCTTTCTCTTGCAGTAAAATGTAAATTCCCTCATCACTGCATTAAGAACCTAATTTCAATGCAAAATAATTTTGAGAGACCTAATTCTCCCCCTGCCCACCACAGGCTTTCACATATACTCTCTTAAACATTGGGCCTAATTCTATGAATGTGCAGACTGCCAGGCTTCGTTTGGATTCAGGTGCTCTACTCTTTGCAAAGTTGGCCCCATGGATCACTGCACCTTTGTCCTATTGCAGAAGGTGGCTTTTTGGAATATGGATACGTTGGTGCTATTGGCAAAGACTTTGGCAAATGGTCAACCCTTGCTACATAAACACTAACACAAGATGCACGTGGAAATGCTCCAGAAAATTCAAGTTGTGAACTGAGGAAAGCTCCTGCCCAAAAGGTACTTTATTATTCAGCAAAGGTCAGGAGAAGCCTTCAATGACAGTGTAAAAAGCTATGCAGGAAGGAAAAAACAGCGTACAACAGTGGTTCTCTCCCTCTCTCTCAAAAAAAAAAAAAAAAAAAAA